TGTGGTTAACAGCCCAGTGCATAACCCGTTACACCACCAGGGCTCCAATAAATATTAGCAGGTTTAATCTTTACCACATCATAAGCGATAAAATGTTATTATTAAATGCTGTCAAGTTGGTTCTGGCTAATATCAACCCTGTATGGGCTTTCTGAGGAACAGCTGATGGGTTTGAACCACCGAATCATAGACCTTGTGGTTTGAAGTTGAGTGCTTATCCTACAGTGCCACACTAGGAGTCCATGTTATTATTAGGAATGTATTATGAGGTTTTTTTTTGTTTTTGTTTTTGCTTTTTAAGATGAAGAAACAGCTTTTTCCCATAAGCATAAAGAACACAGATCACCGATGGAAAGTTTTTGTTTGGAAAAAGCTGGTACCTACCTCCCAGGCATCTAAGAAAGTTGTTTTACTTTGTAGTACATTGCCTTTATCATCTCTGGGGATCACTTCCTTCCCAGGCTGTAAATGAAAAACAAAAAAGTTTAAATTAGAATCTGCCGCTGAATACCTGAGTTCTGGTCCTGGGGTTTCAGATTCCTGAACTTCCCTCATCAGTTAAACCACACCTGCAGGCTATCTTTTCAGGGCCCTAGTTACAACTTCAAAAAATCTTGACATTAAATGAAATCTATAAACCACTCCACTGTCTTAAAGTAAATTCTCGTATTTTAGAAACTGCTGGAGGATTTCAAAATCCATCCTTAATACATTCTAAAAGTCACCATTATCACCCTGGGCACACACGGGCCCATATACACATGAGGACAAGCTAATTTCAAGACCAGGAGACAAACGTTGGGTCTCAAGTGTGGGTTTCCTGGAGAAGATGCTGGTACATTTCTCCCATGGCGGCTCAGAGACCTGGAGGGAGGATGGTATCCTGCTGATCCCCTGGCAGGACATGAGAGAGGAGATTTGGGCATCACATTGTCTCCCACTTTACAGGAGCAGAGGGAAGCCCAGGAAAGGCATTCTGAGTCTTCAGTGAGGACGGGTCACCCTCTGGAGCAAGCATGTTGTTGTTGTTAAGTAGTGTGGAGTCGGTTCCGACTCATAGCGACCCTGCACAGGGTTTTTGAGGCTGCAAATCTTTACAGGAGCAGAAAGCATCATCTTTCTTCCACTGAACAGCTGGTAGTTTCAAACTGCCGACCTTGAGGTTAGCAGTCTGATTCGTAATGACTATGCTACCAGAGCTCTTTCTGGAGCTAGCATTGTTGTGCTTATCTCCAACATGTCACACCCAGGGTGCTTCGATCACAAGAGGGTTGAGCCCTGAAGTGCTGTGATGGGATAGTCCCTCTCCCAGGAGTTTTCCCAGGAGAGGCGTCCTGGACAGGGAATCAGGACAAGGACAACCTCTGTGGGCTGCCAGAAAACCTTGGCCCTCTCAGACAAACTGAGAGAAGACCCCTCACATGGCCAACTCCACACCACAGACTTGGCGTCCCTGACAGCCAGTCCTCGGCTCCATCACAGCCTGTTGGCCACTTGTCATTTGCAGGCGTGAAGGGAAAGAGCTCTCCCCTCAGCTGTTCCACAGCGGACTCAGAGGAGACCTCGGCATTGACTTAATAACGAAAAGGGACAGGGAGTGGTTCCAACCTGAAGCCCCTGAGGCCAGTGAATCAGGTAAATGTCCAGATAGTCCAGTTTCAGATCCTTGAGGGTCTTCTGACAGGCTTCCTTCACCAGGGGCCTCTCATAGAAAGTAGACCACAGCTGCGGAGAGAGACACCCAGGGTCAGTGCTGGGAAGAAGGACTCCCTCACCTCAGTGGCCCACTCCTGGGTCTAATCTGGGACAGACTCCTCTACAGTGAAGGTGGTTCAAACTGTTAGCCTGGTGGGCTCGGCCACCAAGGCTTAGTCAGTCAAGAGAAGCTCTTAAATGTTAAGGGCAGTTTCTTTGTTCAGCTCTCCTAGCATGTTATGTGTCCTTCCTGACAGTGGGCACATTTCCCTACCTGCTTTTCTCTTCCTACCCTCTTAGCTGTATGTTGCTGAAAGCAGGAATTGTTTTCACCTGACTCCAATCTCTTCTGCCTTGGGGGAGAAGATCTCCTTTGTGCAGACCTGGTTTCCAGTCTGCCAGGCCTCCAGGGCGGTCTCTCAGGAAACCCTCCTGGATTCTGTCTGCACACAGGCTCTTTGCTCTACCCAATGCATATTCTTTCATTACTGAATGGCCCCAGGATCCTCAACCCTACAGAATAATACTCCCCTTTTTCTAAATTATAACATTTGTAACTGGCCTTTTATTATGCTGAATGGAAATGAAATTTACATGTGGCCATTTAAAAAATGTACCCTAGGAATTCAAAATGTCCCCTGTGGAGACCCTCAGGGTTGAATCCTAGAGACTAAGGTCTGCAAATTGTGACTTCAGGCTCCATCCCTGATGGCGCCTTCAGCCTCTGATTCACACTGGGCAGATACATCTCATGAATATCACTGTGGCTCAGTGGACCCTTTCACAATGGGAAAACCAACTCATTAGAGGGGTCCAGAGGCAGCAACATCTATTCCAGTTCTGGCTGGGAGTGTGGTTATGTGGGTACTGGGTAGGTCATAAAGCATAAAGCTGGAAAAACAACTTTGTGTTTACAGGAAAAAATGGCGAATCCTTGGTGGTGACCAAGCCAAACACGTCTGACTGCCCTGAGGTTAAGACCTCCCTCCCATCCCGTGGGCCTTGGGCACCTTGCTGACGATGAAGAGATCCTTGCGTGTCACAACCTTCTCTTGGATCTTCTCCTGGATGGCCTCTCCCACCTCGTCCTGGTTCTGATATACGAAGGCACAGTCGATGTGGCGGTACCCCGCATCAATGGCTGTCTTCACAGCCTCTTTGACTTGACCTGGGGCAGACTAAGGAGAAGACCATCATGTGTGCTCATCGCCAGGCTACCGTCCCAGGACTCCACTGCACAACCTACTTCTCCAAACCTGGGACAGACTGGGGCCCAAATTTCCAGGGGATGCCAGTGCAGAAAACACACTTAGGAGAATATTTCAAAAGAGGAGGAAGGAAAGTGGGTTGGTTTTGTGACCCTGACTCACATCTCATTCTAAGCAAGAGTTGACTTTGCTCTTAATACAGGTTAACTCTTTAGACATTTCAGGGCCTTTAGTGTGTGTGGGTGAACCATGCCTCCTTTCTAAAGAGGGGGTGACCAGGCCTCCTAGTGACTCCTGTTATTAAGATGGGAGTAACCATGGTTCTTCATGCCCCCTTACCAAAGATGGGGTGACCCATGGCTCCTTGTGCCCCCCTCACCTTCAAAGATGGGGTGACTACAGTTCTTTGTCACCTTTCTGTAAAGTACAGAATGAAACTGCCCTTGGAAATGACCTGGCACAGAATGGGCAGGAAAGTTCTCCAAACAATAATAAGGATCTTTGTAAGAAGGTCAGTCCCGATAAATCCAGGCTCTGCTGCCCCCTAACGGTTAAGCCTTGGATAAATTAATCTCCAAACCTTGTCTTCAAAAAATGAGAATAATATTAATCTTAGGGGGTGCTTGGGTGAAAGGCATTGAGCACAGGAACCCAGGAAGCCTTGGTGGGGTTGAGTTATCACACAAGTATTGTTTCAGAATGGGGAAAAATGAAATCACCATGTTCTAGTCTAGCCCGGTGAACCCAATCAATGTAAAGAGAAAAGAAAGGAAAGATTTTATACTGAGCTTCCCCTCAACCTTTTAAACCTTCTGTAGTGAAATAACAAACATACTGAAAAGTAGACTAAATAGAATTGCAACAAGAGCAGCTCCATATAAGAAGTGGGTGGGGTAGTCACTCAGTTTCCCCGGGTTCTGGTAGCATAGTGGTTACGAATTGGACTGTGAACCGCAAGGTCAGCAGTTCGAAACTACCAGCTGTTCCGAGGGACAAAGATGAGGCTTTCTGCTCCGGTAAAGATTTACAGCCCCAGAAACCCTGTACAGTGTCGCTATGGGTCAGAACCGACTCCACAGCACACAACCAACCAACCACTGCTGCAAGTCA